TTTGATTTTTATTGAATTAATTCATTTTTAATCAATTTCAATCCAAATAAAATCCAAATCTTGATAACTTGGTATCTTTTTGATTGATACAGGCTTTAATTATCATCATGGACAAGATCAAACTCGTATCAAGCCATATCATGCACAAAATTTTGGATTTGGAATGAAATTGGAAGCTTTTTAATGGAGGATCATATCATATCTTCAAGAATTGATTGGAAAGGATTCAAAGCCCAAAACATGACCTAATTCGTTCCATTATACTTATACAACACAAAGCATACGAGTTCAGGACTAAGAGGCTGCACAATCTGGAAAACCAAACTTGGAAATTTGTCAAAAAAGCTTGGAATCGAAATCAGTCTTGGAGGCTAATTCAACACAAAATATCAACGTAGACCCCTTGCTGGATATACATTGAGTGAAAGGCAATCAAAATCAAGCTCTCTCCTCTCCTAAATCGCTTTGTAATCCTTCTTGAAAACCACCCTGCATCTGAAATCGTAACCTCTCTTTCTTGCATTTTTTTGACAAACCATGGACATATTCTTGATCCTTGTATGATTTCTAAACTCTATGAAATATTTGATTATGTTTTTATAGCCTGTAATGCCATACCCGAAACTAGGGTTTTTGGTTCTTGTTTTTAGGAGTTTTAGTTTCAGGCACAATTGATGCAAACAATGGGCATGGATGTGATCAGGGAAGGGAGACGATCATGGTTGTGGTTTTAGTTTGAGTTTTCATGGCCTAAAGAAGATTTTAGGATTGACCTAGGGATTTAGTTGTGGATTCAAATCCGCAGGAAAAAGAACCAGGTTTCGTTGGAGAAGATGAAGACGTGCCTCTTCCTTATTGGATGGTTTTGAATCTTGGCGCGTGTTTTTATAATTCTAGCATATTTATTTGTTTTCTAATATATTAATTGCTATCTGATCCAATAACAAATAAGGCATAGTGGTGTAGTGGCAGGGGTGAGCATTCAAAACCAATGGGACCTGGGTTCGAATCTCAGGTCCACCATATTGCATATTATTATTTTGTTTCAGGTATTCAAGCGCTTTTCAGCAATTAAGGCCTATCATACACCATCACCCAGATGCCTGCCAGATGGCCCTAGGCCAAATCTGGTGGCCAAGATTGCAAGTCCACCATATTTCCAAGTCAATGCACACGCGTGGAATGGCAAAAGTCAAAGCAGGCCAGCGTACATGGGCCTCACAAAATGCTAATCTCACCTCCTGATTTGGGCCCAAACCCCCTTTTTGGTTATTTCTTTCTTTTTTATATCTCTTTTATTTTATTGTTTTGTATTATTATTTTTATTATTTAAACTAACCAATTAAAATTTTTTTCTCGTAAAATCAAATATACAAAAATATATCTTATTTATTAAAATTAAAATCATCACTTTATTTTTGTAAATAAATTAATTCAATTGATTTAGTTTAATTAGGTATAACTTGTAATATTTTTGCAATATTTAAAATTGATGTAGAAAATTAGGTTTTTATTAACTTTGACCATATTTATTTTATTTTCTTTAAATATACAAAAATCCAAAAATATTTTAATTAATTAATTAATTTAATTGTTAATTTAGATTTAATTTCTTTTAATTCAAAAACAACTAAAAAATTACTTTCTTTCAAAAAAGGGATCAAAACCCTAAAAAATGCACCCGATTTAATTTTCTCGCACGCGATCAATTTTGCCATATTGATGTAATTGTTTCCCGGAATGTAATAGCTTTTAATTAGGACTTTATTTTATCGCTTTATTTTATTTTCCGCATTTAATTTCAAGGGTTGTTTTTGGCGATGTAAATATCTGACGCCTTGTAATAGTCTAGATTTAATTTCCACCATTTAAATTCCGCAACTATACACTGTTAGATGTTTGATAATAGGGAATGCATGACAAGATCAAATGTATGAACTTAAAATCAACATAGCTCACCCATGACATGTACAAAGATAGAATAACTGAAAACAACACACTCGCACATGCGCACTCTTAGGGTACACCTCACTTGGTTGCCTTCGAACGTGGTCATTGAGTATAGGAAGTTTTAGAGGTCGCCCTCTTGTGCAAAGATCATAGTTGCCTCGAAACGGTTGCCTCGAAAAAATGATCTAAGACATTAGGGTTACCGCTAAGGCATCCTAACATTGCTTTAGTGACCACATGTCCCTTAATCGAATTGACCCTAAAACTCCAACGACGACGCTACCTACTCATCAATAGTGGGATAGCGTTGTCTAAAGGACATTTGTACAGATTAATTCCTTTTTCGAGTAGGTAGATGGTTCTTAAGCACTTGCTCTCTCAAAACAAAACAAAACTTTTTGCACTTACACTCCTTTCAAACAAAAACTCCTTTCAAACCCACAAACACAAAGAAAAGCAAATTTTGAAAACACTTTGACAAGTACCTAAGAGCCCATGGATAACCATGGATAGAAAGGGTGCTAACACCTTCCCTTTCTATAATCTACCCCCGGACCCGAGAAACATCTCGAAAAAGGAATTTTTCTGTGCTTTTTTCCTCTCCTTGTTGGATAAAATAAAAGACGGTGGCGACTCTTGCTTACCGCGACATTTTGTGAAAACAAACGCAAAACGCGAACCAGCATTCCAAAAACAGTCAGTTATCTCCCACCGTATCACAGTGGCCATGGGCCTTAATGAATTTTGGTGGTTTAATTAGGGCTTTCTAGCAGTTGTGATAAATCATGTTCCGAAGTATTTTTGGCGATGGAGAGAGCAAACTCACGTGAGGTGAGAAACTCTGTATTCTTGAGATATTCGGTCTATCTTTTGAGTTGTCTCCTAAACGTAGAGTTTGGGTATTTATAAATTCTTATGGACTTAGATATAGGGAACTCTTGGGACATATTAACCTCTCCACTTTGACTGAGAAAGTTGTTGACTACCTATATCATAGGGAGTTGTGACCAGGACTTCCTGCACACGTGATTATAGGTTATGCACATGCAACCCTCGTGTTGCTCATCAGGGAGAAAACCCAATGGTGAGGGGGTTACATCTAGGCACTATACTATGGGGCGATCATCTTATGAGACTTGGCCCAATACCGCCTTGTCATGGGTTTTTGCAAATATATTCCTACAAGACTCTAAAAGACCAGAGCAAGGCATGATTTCTCATTACATATATCAAATTGAAAGCTCATATGAGGTCTAAATGATTGAAAGCTCATATGAGGTCTGTCATTTAGACCGTCCTCATGATCCTAAATCTATAGTAAATTACTCACACATAATACACGTAAATGCATCCATAGTTACTGATAAAAGCATGGAATAAAACAAGAACTGATAAGTAATAAAGTAAAACAAACAGAACCTGAGTTGACGAATGAAAAGTATAACAATTGTTTATGCTTCAATGTAGTCTTTACAAGAATTTAAAAGGCAGAAAATAGTAAACTAAGCTCATGCACAATTTTAGAGAAAAGAGTGTAGATCTTAATTCTGAAGATTACAAGACTTTATATAGCTCAAGACCCATAAAGAATGCACTAAAATGCATTAAGAGTGTCTTAAAACCAAAGGAAAATAGTTTGAGAAGTGGAAATGGCATAACTAAAACAACAGAATCGCAAAAAAATAGTAATAATAAAATAAAAATAATAATAATAAATTGGATTTATCTAAGCTCTTAAAAGGCTCAATACATATTACTTATTCAAGTTAAATTTAGAAGCAAGTATGAAATAATAACAAAACTATGGTCCTAACTTATTATTTATTTATGGTTATGGTAGCTGAAAGAGCTTGTTCAATGTGTCAATTTCTAACCAAAAGTATGTCAACTTAATGCAAAATGGAAGTGAGTATCAAATCAGAATGGATATTTGAGTTGAATACAAAACGACACAAATTGCCAATTGTGTTGTATTAGCATGACTATTTTGACTCCTGCCTTGACGTGAAAGCATAAGTGTCTTCCAATTGCATACATTCATATGGTGTTATATCATTTTCATAGCAGCTGTGGTTATACATAGCAATTATATACCTACCATTATTGAATCAGAAATCAAAATTTTACATGTTTTGTAAAGATTGAAACGTCCTAGTAACTCATGGTCGTTGCTGATTTTGACGTAATGACAAGTACCTACCCACTTAGAAATTATTGTTTGAACTTTGAATGTCTTCAAATTTTTTTTAACTAATTAGGCATTTTGTAGTTTACAAAGTTTATATATATATATATATATATATATATATATATATATATATATATATATATAAATAATAGTATCATATCGAATAATATATTGTCAAAATATATATTTATAAAAAAATCAATCATTATCTTTTAAATCACATATAAAAATGAATTAAGTTTAAATAGAGAAGTCAATAATTATCTTACAAATCAATTTTTGAAAAATAAATTAAATTTAAACACAATTTTAAAAAGATATAGAGTCTAATATATATTATATTTAATATTGTAATAATTTTTTGTAATTTATATATTTTAGATATTGGCAAAATAGTCATGAATTAAAATTATTAAAATATGTTTAAAACAGTTATTATTTAATTTTATTTTTTAATGTGTCTCTTTTCTAGGTCACAGTGTTTAAATTTTAGGGTTAAATAAATTTTTGGTCTCTATAAATATGCTTAATTTTATTTTTAATCTCTCTAAAATTTTCCTTCGAACATTGGTCTTCATAAAGTTTTTCATTTACAATTTTGGTCACTGCCGTCAATTTTTATTAAAGGAAGCTGACGTGGCAAAGACAGCTGTAAAAAATTTAAAAAAAAATTTAGATTAGGGTTACAAACCCCCTCTAACAAACCCAAAAAAATTTCTAAGAGACATTTCATCAAACACCTTAACTGCACCCTTCAAAATTACAACATTGTTACAAATCACAATTGTTTCACCAACAACAATACTGAAGACAATTGTTCTAATTTTTAGGAATCAAAGAGATACTTCCAATTTTGTAAGCTCTAATTATCAAGAAATTTTGTAAGTTTGTTTATCCTCGCCTTCACATTATCAATTGTTGTATTCTTGCTACCTCCCCAACGCCGCTCGATGATTTCAACGTTTGAAGGCGCTGTCAGATAGCTTTTCTCAGCTTTCATTAAAACCTCAGCACCTTTAGAATCATTTGGTAAATTTGCTATCTGCTTCTTCAATAATGTTGGTGGAAGGATGCCATCAACAACAACTCTAGCTATGAAAAGCGCTAGAATATCGACCGTGTTCGGTATATCCATAATCAAATCATCAGTCGACTCGACTAACTTGGTGAATCCTTTGTAAACTTGTGAAGGATGAATTATGTCAGCATAAAGTGCAGAGAAGAGAATGGGAGCCATTTCTTTTTCTTTGTCGTGTCTGTCTATCGACATCGAGACAAGCTATGTAGAATAAGCAAATTGAACTTCACAACATATGTTTAACAGGATAAAGAAAATTATGTTTGAGGTAACTTAATGTATAAAGATCGCGAATATTGAAACAAAGACTTTACTACGAGAGTAATAAGGAAAGGAATATACAAACAAGAACAATGGTCTTTGAGCATGACATCATAAATACTAGAGCTTTGACAATTTCTGAGCAAGGTTCTGCAGAAATAACTTCAACTATCAATACCTTTTTAACCAGAGTGTGAGATATATATGGATATTTGAACAGAATTTCATTTTTGAAACAAGGCATTTACTTTATTTTTCTTTACTTATCTTCTATTTTATTGAAAAGTTGTGACTTACATAATGAGTCTGTATTATAATTTAAGGTTTAAGTTTCATTTTGGTAGTGAAATGCAAAGTATAATGAAGAACAAGTAAAGAAGAATCAGAAATTAGAGGAAAACCTTCTTTAATAGGTCTTTGTTGTAATTGCACCTCTTGTGAATCTTTAACAATTGAGCTAACATTATGATATATATATATATATATATATATATATATATATATATATATATATATATATATATATATATATATATATATATATATATATATATATATATATATATATATATATATATATATATATATATATATATATATATATATATATATATATATATATATATATATATATATATATATATATATATATATATATATATATATATATATATATATATATATATATATATATATATATATATATATATATATATATATATATATATATATATATATATATATATATATATATATATATATATATATATATATATATATATATATATATATATATATATATATATATATATATATATATATATCATAATGTTAGCTCAGTTGATAATTTTGCATGGACATCTAATATATAGATGTGAGTTCTAATCCACCATATTTCACTTGTTTATCTTTAAAAAGTGGATTTCAACCAATTTAACTTATAAAAAAAACATAGATTTATATATAAATATAAGGGACAAAAACAATATCAACCAGGAAAATCCCACAACACCCAACAACTAAAATAAAAAACTAAGAACAAAGTTAGAACTCCCTAGAAAAGAACTAGGAAGTCGAACAACTGCCTCCATCAAAACACTAAGGACACCCCAAAAGGATGACAATGACTCTCTAGCCGCTATTTGATCAGGTATAAGATGGGATTCTCAAGTCAGTCCAAGAAAGCACATGAGCTATCCATAAACATATCAAGATATCATTTCTAAGCCAAGAGAATGCTCAAGTCTTCCACGTCCTTCGAATTCACTAGTTTTTCTGGGAACACTATATCATTCAGATATTCTAATTCGACCAAACCACATCATATACCAAATCATAAGATAATTTTCTTTAATCCTAGATAGACTATCAGTAGGTAAAAACATCTGAAAAAGGGTCAAGACTTTCATATGTAATAATTCATCTCGACCATCTAAAAATCATATACCAAACAAAAATTGGCACCTCAAAAGTAACAAAAAGATGGTAGGATGACTTAGTATCATCTGAACAAAAAGGACAAAAAATCCTCCGACCCAAAACTAATCCCCCTCTTAAGTAAGTTCATTCTAGTAGGGATCTTATCTTGAAGGAGTTGTCAAGAGAAAATATTTACTTTAGAGGGTGCAAAATCACTCCAAACATATGGGACAATACTCACAGAAGAACAGACATGGGTATCTCTTGGAAGCTCCCGTGAAAAGAGAAAAGTGTGGGTAGAGGACACAAGAAAAATTTCGTTCTTTGGAATGACGCCACCACCACCTATCTTGCTACATAAAGGGATTAAAATCACTAATAACCTAAATGAGATCGGCAATCAAAGTCTACTCATACTAAAAAATACGGGTTCTTCTCCACTTAAGATCTTAAACCCTAGATTAAGCCTTCCACTCACCAACGTCCCCCCACAAAAAAGTCTTTTTCTTAGAGATGGAGAAGAATCTAGGGAACCGGACACTAAGAGGAGTGACCTCTAATTAAGAGTCATTCCAAAAAACGGTGTGAATCATTAAGCCAATCCGCTTGAATATGGCCTCCTGAAACCAATCAATACGGGTCTTCAGACTTAGACCTAGAAAAAAATATTTCTTTCTATCAGAGAGACTTTGACCTAAGATACCTAACCCTACCACCCAAAGTAGAAATATAGACATATAACCAAATTTCACAAATAAAATATCATGCAAAATATCAAAACCACTCAACTTACATTAATTTAATATAAATTACATTTACAAATATTTTTATAATTTCAAATATTCATAGTTTGCATTTAGACAATATCTGACACATTTAAACACACATTCATGAATTTATGTATCTCACAAAGAAAGGAATATGTCGTCCATTTAAACGAAACATCTCATTTTCGGTAGGAAAGTGAGGTTTTTCTTTTTTCCACTCTTCCATTTTTCCCACCGACAGTTTGTTAGCTACGGCAGAAAGACTAAACGTGTTTAAATACTTTTTTTTCTTTAATTAAACAAAGAAAATATATTATCATTATGCTGTTATTTGGAATAATCTTCTTCTTTTGCTTTCTTTATGTCTCTATTTTCGTCAAAAAAGTTGTTAGATTCTTCTTTTCAAATGTGACAGTACTACTTGCAAGTACAAAGACACTTTACCATATATATGCTAATTAGTTATTAGTAACCTATGATTAACGATCTTTAGATTTATTTAGATGCAAAAATTGAGCTTGGTTCATTTTAAAACATTTTCAAGATTAAAATTTCATACTAATAATTTTTATTTGGAAGAGAGTAATATTTGTTGGAAATCCACCAAAGTCTATAATGAATTTCTACCACAATGACGATTAGTTATGAGAAAAATAAAGAAAAGAAGACAAGATAAATAATTTTTGCAGAGTTTCTCTCTGCTCACAAACCGTGAAAACTTTTTTATTCACTTTGCAACTACAAAATACTGTGAATGACTTGTTTGACTTGCTTACAAAAATAGGGGTTACTCTCTCTATTTATAACTGAGCTTACACTCTAAGCTCAAAGCCCAAAATATCTATTTTGTTACTAAATCAAATCTAATTTATTTTAGGCTTAAATCAAATCTATTTAAATCTAAAACAAATCAAATCTTTTCGACACATAGTTTCGACACACTGAATTACAATTTACCATACCACCTAATTCATTGTGTCTAAACTATCTATGTTCACATAACTCTTAGTCTTCTGAATACTTCGACTTGCACTCCCTTCGTCATGATGTCTGCAATCTGATTCTCAGTTCTACAGTGTTCCAAATTCATCTTCCTATCTGCTACCTGCTCTCGAAGATAATGGAACCTCATTTCGATGTGCTTACTTTGATCATGTGCTATTGGATTCTTTGCCAGATTAATAGCAGACATGTTGTCGATCTTCATGGTAATTGCTCCATGATCTTTCCATGTAATCTATTCGACCAAGTTCACCATCCAAGTTACTTAACATGCACAAAGAGAAACATTTATGTATTCTACTTCGCATGATGATAATGCTATTACTGGTTCTTTTCTTGAATTCCAAGCAACTAGTGCACCACCTAGCATAAACACATATCATGTTGTTGACTTTCGATCTTCAGCATCACTACACCAACTCGAATCAGTGTATTCCACTAACTTGCATTATTTTCCTTTATCAGCTGCAGGAAACAAAATGCCATAATCGAAAGTTCATTTGAGATACCTCAGTATCCTTTTTACTGCTGCTAGATGTGATACCTTTGGCTTCTGCATGAATCTACTTAACATACCTACACTGTATGCTAAGTCGGGCCTTGTATGACAAAGATATCTTAATGATCCAATAAGTCTTCTGTATTGGGTTGGATCAACATCATCTTCATCTGCATCATTCGATAGTTGCAGTCTTGGTTCTGCAGGTGTCAAAGTTGAGTTGCATTCTTCCATCTCAAACCTCTTGAGAATTTCTCCTTCATATCTTCTTTGATGCATCATCAAACCTCTACTGCTTTTGTAGAATTCGATACCAAGGAAATATGAAATCTCACCCAAATCAGACATTTTGAATTCCTTGCTGAGATCATCTTTGAAGTCTTTGATCTCACTCTTGCAGCTACCTATTATCAACAAATCATCTACATAGACACATAGTATAAGCAATTTACTCTTTCTTCTTCTTACATATACTCCATGTTCAGTTGTGCACTTCACAAATTCCTTCTCCCTTAGGAAATTATCAATTTTCTTATTCCAAGCTCTTGGAGCTTGTTTCAATCCATACAAGGCTTTATGTAGCCTGTACACCTTTCTTTCTTCGTCATGTTTCACAAACTCAACTGGTTGTTTAACATAGACTTCTTCATCTAAGGGTCCATTTAGGAATGCACACTTCACATTCATCTGACATATGTGCCAACTGTTTATTTTTGCTAGACCAACAACCAACCTGATTGTTTTGATCCTAGCAACAGGTGCAAAAACTTCATCGAAGTCTATTCCTTCTTTCTATAGAAATCCTTTCGCCACAAGTCTTGCTTTGTGTCGAGTTACTTCACCTTTCGAATTCGTTTTCACTTTGTATACCCACTTGACATCAACTTTCTTCTTGCCTTGAGGAAATTCGACAAGTGACCAAGTGTTGTTGTCTTTGATAGACTTCACTTCTTCGTTCATTGCTTTCACCCACTTCGAATCCTTTAATGCTTCAGCTGCATTAACAGGTTCGACATGTGCATAGATAGCATAATGTATCAGCTCACCTTCATTATCTATTACATCATCTGATGTAATCACACAATCTTGCAATCTTGCAGGCATGCGTCTTGTTCTTTCAGGCCTGCTTGTACTTGGTATATCTGTTGGGTCCTCTTGTCGAACTTCTCTTTCGACTTGAGTTTCTGGCTCTTCAAGTAGGATTCCCACTGAATCTTTCTTGACATTTTCAGTCTAATCCCATTCTTTAAACTCATCTATGATCACGTCCCTGTTGATCACAATCTTCTTGTTCTCTGGATCGAACAACTTGTAGCCTCATGTCGAATGATATCCAACTAGAATCATTTGACTTGACTTATCATTAAGTTTTCTTCTCAACTGATCTGGCACATGTCTATGTGCAATAGATCCAAATACCTTCATATTACTCAAGCTAGGCTTCACACCAGACAAACATTCTTATGGAGTAACTCCTTCTAGCTTCTTTGTAGGACATCTGTTCAAAATGTATGTTGCAGTCGAAACAGCTTCACCCCAAAACTCTTTAGGTAAATTCTTGCCTTTCAACATACTTCTCACCATATTCATGATGGTTCGATTCTTTCTTTCTACAATTCCATTTTGTTGTGGAGTATAGGGTGACACCACCTCATACACAATCACTTCCTTTTCACATAGCTTGTCGAAGTCTTTCAACACATATTCTCCACCACCATCAGTTCTCAAAACTTTGAGCTTTCGACCACTTTGTCTTTCGACCATAGACTTAAACTTGGCAAATACTTCGATCACTTCACTTTTCTTCTTGATCAGATAAGTCCACAGCTTTCGACTGAAATCATCTATGAATGTAACAAAGTATTTGTTACCTCCCATCAAATCTACCTGGATTGGTCCACATACATCAGAGTATATGACTTCAAGAATAGCCTTCGATCTGCTTCCTGCATCCTTGCTGAAGCTATTCTTGTGTTGCTTCTCCTGCACACATTCCTCACATACTTCGTTTGGAATGTCAATTTCAGGAAATCCTGAAACCATATTTCTTCTCTTCAAATCTCTGATGTCTCTGAAGTTGAGATGGCCTAGTCTATAATGCCATATCCATTCATCTCTGCTAGCTGCACTCGAAAGGCACTTGTGCTCCATCACATTTAGTTCAATCTTGAAGGTTCGATTCTGAGACATAGGAGCCTTCAAGATTAATCTCCCATTTGCATCAACAACTCTCATCATCTTATCTTTGATTGATACTTTATAATTCTTTTCGATCAACTGCCCTATACTGAGAAAATTGCTCTTCAGTCCTGGTATGTACAACCCATTGGAGATTACTGACCTTTTGTCGTCTTTCCTCATAATCATAACATCACCAATACCTTCGGCTGCTAGGGTATTGTCATTTGCAAATTTTACCATATTTTTCATTGAGGGCTTTATATTGACAAACCAGTCTTTCCTTCCAGACATATGTGATGAACATCCTGAATCCAAGTACCATTGGTCCTTGAGTCTATCTTTATCTTTTGTTGTGACCATTAGCATCATCTCTTCTTCTTCTTCATGTTTTGCAAGCTTTGCATCACTCTCTTGATTCTTTCGTTTTTCTAGACAATCACTCAAATAGTGACCATACTTCTGACAATTGTAACATTGAATGTGACTCTTATCAGGTTTTTGACCACCACCTCTTCATCTATTTGCAACACCACCTCTTTGGTTGCCTTGGTATGGCCTTCTTTGATTCGACATGTTTCCTTCGATCTGGTTTCCTCTACCATTAGATTTGTTGTAGCCACCTCTACCCCTGTCGAAACACCTTCCTTTGCCTTTGGTTTCTTTTGCTGAATGTGCCTGCAAGGCCACATCAATCTTCGATTTGCTTACAGCTCTTTCATTCATTCTTTGTTCATGAGATTCAAGCGTCCCTTGAAGCTCTTCCTTTGTCAATTTCGACAAGTCTTTCCCCTCTTCTATTGCCACCACTATATGGTCGAACTTAGGAGCTAAAGATCTCAAGATCTTCGAAACAACAACTTTTGTTGTTAACGCTTCTCCACATATCTTGATTTGATTTACTAGTTTTGTAACTCTAGTGAAGAAATCAGATATGCTTTCACTGTCTTCCTTCTGAAGCAGTTCATACGTCCTTTTGTGAGCTTGCAACCTCACTTCTTTCACCTTCTCAACGCCTTCAAAAGACTTCTCAAGGATTTCCCAAGCTTCTTTTGCAGATTCTGAATCACTAACATTTTCGAAATTGTCTGGGCTAACACATTGATGAATTATAAATAATGCTTTATAACTCAGTTTCTCAGATTTTGTATATTTCTTTTTTTCCTCTTCTGAAGTGTTTTCTCCAAGCGCTTCGACTCCATGTTTTACAAGGTCCCAAAGACCTTGACACCTGAATAAGACTTTCATCTGTTTGCACCAATTCTCATAGTTGTCAACTTTCAGAATTGGTAGGGTTGCTGGATAATTTGCATTCTCATAACTTGTCATCGTGAATTCTTCAATCGTTCCTGATTGATACTTCCCTTAAATCGAAACAAAGCTCTTGATACCAGATGTTGGAAATCCACCAAAGTCTATGATGAATTTCTACCACAATGACGATTAGTTATGAGAAAAATAAAGAAAAGAAGACAAGACAAATAATTTCTGCAGAGTTTCTCTCTGCTCACAAACTGTGAAAATTTTCTTATTCACTTTTCAACTAT